GGATTATTTGAGGCCAGGAGTTCAGGGTTCAAGACCAACCTGAGCAAGAGCAAGACCTGGTCTCTACAAAAAACAAAAAAATTAGCTGGGTATGGTGGTACACACTACTCCCAGCTCCTCGGGAGGCTAAGACAGGAGGATCGCTTGATCTCAGGAGTTTGAGGTTGCAGTGAGCTATCATGAAGCCACTGCACTCTAGCTTGGGTAAGAGTGAGACCTTGCCTCAAAAAAAAAAAAAAAAGAAAGAAAGAAATGTGTAAGAAACTGATTATTGGATTCATCCACTGGACCACACTTCCTCCAAGTAAACTGGAAAAACAACGTTCTAAATTGAAAACCAAAGATTCTGAGAAACAAATAGTTTTAAGTGTCAAGAGGTCTTTATTGAAATAATAGCACAGTTACACTTCTAATACCCTTTCTACTTGTATACAATAGATTAAAAATGCTTGCTACATACAGTGCACAGACAGTTCAATTAGAACCAAAACAACTCCATTTGAAATAAATAAAATAGCCTATTTAATAATTTAAAGTAAAATTACTGTACAATATGAAAATAAAGATACATAAATGTTAGGATCTACAATGCCTTCGAAATAAAATCATTACTCTGCATTACACAAAACAGTGCAAAAAAAAAATCCAAATAAGCTTTTGGAGTGCAAAGTTTAAATTTTCCATTTTAAATGATCATGCAGACATAGCATTTCAAGCCATGCTATGGTCTATGACAAAGTTTTTAATTTTTAAGAGGAAAAATGCTAGCCAGTAAATTCACGGTACCATCAAGTGTTGCATCACGTAACTGCTGCAGTTCTGCTTCTACAGTACAGTTTGGAAGGGAGGTATCTTGTTGCATTCAAAAAATTGAAAAACAAGTTTCTGAAGCAAACACATTTACCTTTTAGCCTGAAACAAAATTGTGTGACAAAATAGTAATCATATCCCTGGGTTTAAGAAAAAAGAAAAGGCCTATACCCTTAATGAACTAAGAAGCAGTTTTCCATTCATCTTTAAACTCCGTAATGATCCTCAAGTGAAAATAACCATGTAACTTTTGAGTGGCATATAAAATTCTGACCTCTAGCAGACAAGTGATACAATATGGGATTGTGAGAAGAGTAAAAGTAATTTCTGAACACCTATGTTTAATCGGGATAGAAGCTGGTTGCATTACATGTAATAATGTAGTTGAAGTTCAATGTTTATATAAAACCGTTATTTAGGCAGAGACCAAGGAATGCATTTAATACTAAACAGTAAACACATCGTCCACCTCGACTTGGAGTGCACACCAGTAACATAAGAGCTCTTGCGCAGACTTTGGCAACGAGACTACATATATCAGGTCACAGCAGCACGAGCACGAGCTCACGTGGAAGACTGAAAGCACTGCAGAATACCACCACCCAACACCTCTCAACAGTATACATGGTAAGAAGGGGGCCTCCTCGTGCTAAACCACTTTCCTGGACAGTCTATGTTCTTCAGATTTGTAATTTTCACAACTCAGTAGTCTTAAGTCTCTGTGCTTTCACTGCATAGACTGACATGGGGTGTACTCTATCCATTGTAGGTCCAGAGGGTTACAGTTCTGTCCGCAGAGGACGAGAGGAAGGAAAGATCTTGGGTGTGCCATCTGCACTGAATCACTTTGTCCTTGTGCTCCCCAACCACCATGATAGGAAGCTGCTTAGTGAGGTCCCCTAAATTAAAGAAGAAAACACATGATTTACAAAACAAAATAAGTATATGTACATATTTAACAGACTTCCTGTTACTTTAAGACACTACAGTATAAAAAATCCTAAACTACACTAATACAATACATTGAAAGGTTTGCACAGGGACAACTTACTGGACGTCTACTCACGTTAGTAGTATTTAGTAACATATACACAGCAACATTTGACACAGCTGCCATTCTCTCCTTGAAACTCAGCTTGATTTCTCCCTGATTTCAGTGCCATTCCGTCTTGGTGGTTTCTCTTCTCTTCCTGACTTTAAAGTTTGGTGAATCCCAGGTGTCAGACTTCAGATTTCTTCTCTTCCCTCTCTACCTAACTTCCTATGAAATTTCATCTAGCATTGTGATCTATATACTTAGGATTCATACACATTTCATCTCTAGCCTTGACTTCTTTCCTGAGTTGGCGACTAGTATCCAAATAGACATTTGGCATCTCACTTGATTGCCTGATAGTCATTGTAAGTTGTCTACAGCCAAACTCTTGATTTTCTTGCCTTCATCTGTTCCTCCCCTCACCCATCTTCCTCATCTCTCAATTAATGGCACCATCTGGTTGCTCATGCGAAAAACCTTGGAATCATCGATTTTTTCCCCTCACTCCCCAAATCTAATCCAAACAAATTAAAATATATCCCCAATTGAGTCATTTCTTGCTATTAATACCTTCACCTCTACCACCTCAGTCCAAGCTACCATCATCTCTCACCTGAACTATTCCAGTAGCCTCTTCGCTGACATTTATACTCTACTTCTTGACCCCCTTGCAATCCACTCCCCCTACAAAACTCAAAATTATTTAAAAATATAATTCAGATCATATCACTACCTGGCTTAAAATTGTCCAAAGGCTTCATGTTATGCTTTTTAAAATGCCTATACCTCGTCAATTGTAACAAATATACCATTCTGGAAGGGGATCCTGATAATGCAGGAGGCCATGCGTGTGTGGGATGGGGGTATCTGGGAATTCTCTGTATCTTTCTCTCAATTTTGCTGTTAACCTAAAACTGCTCTTAAAAATAAAAGCCTATTTTTTAAAAAATGCCTATAAAACCCTACCTCTGATTTATTCTTCTGTCTCTCTCTCGCCTGGTTCACTAAGTTCCAGGCACACTGGCTTCTTGCAGTCATGAACATGCCAAGTTTGTTCCTACCTCAGCATCTTTATACTTATACTCTTCTCCTAGGGTCCTGGCCTGGCTTGTTCCTTCTTTTCATTCAGGTCTCTGTGCAAACAGCATTTCCGTGGAGAGACCTACTCTAATTATCCTATCTAAAATAGCCTTCCCCTATCCACCTAGTCACTATCTCCTACTACCATGCTATTTCTTTTTTTTTGGGACAGAGTTTCCCTCTATTGCCCCAGGTAGAGAGCAGTGGCATCAGCACAGCTCACTGCAACCTCAACTCCTGGGCTCAAGCGATCCTCCTGCCTCAGCCTCCCAAGTAGCTGGGACTACAGGTGCGTGCCACAATACCTGGCCAATTTTTTCTATTTTTGGTAGAGATGGGGGTCTCACTCTTGCTCAGGCTGGTCTTGAATTCCTTACTTCAAGTGATCCTCCTGCCTTGGCATCCCAGAGTGCTAGGATTACAGGCATGAGCCACCATGCCTGGCCTACCATGCTAATTTTTAAAATAGCACTTACGAACACCTAAAATTATTATTGTTTATTGGTTTACTTTTTATTGACATCTAAAATATAAGTTCCATCAAGGAGGGAGCTGTCTTATTCACCTGTCTGTCCCTAGTTGGTACATAATAAATATTTGCTTAATGAATATTTAAAAATAAAACTAGATAGAGAAGACCTAATTACACAGACTATGCACTAATCACTTTTTTTTAAAGTAGAGCTAATAAGAATACATAAATGTGGCCGGGCGCGGTGGCTCACGCCTGTAATCCTAGCA